AGATGCAGAGAAATCAGTGTGTGCAACAGCTCCACCAGGAACTTCACTCATAAGATGGATTCCAGAAGCATCTTGTTTCCATTCTTCCCCAGCCCTCTTTCTCTCTCCTAGCTAATGGCTGTATTACCCCGATGGAGAGGACAGTCATTGTTTAAGCCGCTGTCTTTTGGCCTGAGGGTTTGGGGGTATGTTGATACTTGTCGGTTACTATGACTTCTTTTTTTTCCCCCCTCAATTGCATCAAACCCTTAAAACATGGTGGTAAGTGAGCGATATGCATGCTTTTGGAGTTTGTTTAATCTCCGCTTCAGTCTATACAGTGCATAGTTCATAATGTTAACACTTCAAATTTACTTCATTCACTTTCACAACTAACTTGGATTTCAGTTTGCTGTTTAAAATCCTCATTTAGTTTGATTTTTGTACCTTGTTTTTGTAGTTCTGTTTTTCCCCCTTCCTGATTTCCCTGTGAGGGTCAAGTTGTTTTTGTCTGACCTGTAAGGGAGAGTGGTGGTGCTGTCAGTCCAGGAACATAGGGGACATGAAGCTCTCTGTAAATGTGAAAGTGGATTTGGGGAGAGAGATGATGGGGCTTATGAGATTTAGACACGACTGTGAACAACAGCTGTTCCCACACGCAGGCATGGCGGCTTCACAGGGCCACTGTTGCTACAATCCCTACTGCAGCCCTTTGCACGTTATGGACTGGACCTTCCTCAGACGCCAGGGCATATCCTCTGCAAAAGAAAGAAAAGTTGTGGTGTGACTGCTGGGGTTGGTGCTGATAGCGTCATGCTTTAAAAAGAATTAGCTTGGCTGTTGCAATACCCTCTCCCTTGCTTTTTCTTTTAAAGTTGGGATAGATGGAAGGTATTCTTGAATCGCTGTCTTGCTTTAGAATTTCGAGTATTTGGGTTCACAGCCAGAGCACTAAAAATATTCTGAGTTTGCTTCTGTGTCTTTAACTTTAATTCCCTGAGTGCTTAGTTCCTAGCATGTAGCTGAGCTGGCGTGGCCAGGATTCTGAGAGCATTAGGGTGTCAGGTGAGGGAGGATCTAGGCTGGGCTTGTGTGTTAGTATCTGCCGTGTTTTTGTATATCTTCACTGCATACACAGCACACAGATGTCGGGGTGTGCTTAAGTCTTAGTTTGTTCTCTGTATCTGTTTGCTAGTACTGTTGTCAATAGTGGAATCTTGTGGACACTGGTGTGTCGCTAGCCTGTGGTTTTGGCTAATAAGTTGTTGGTTTGTGGTTAGTTTTTGTTTTGTTTTTTAAATCTGTTTTGCTCCAGTCACTGTGTGTGCTGGCAGTGGCTTTGCCTCTCCATTGCCTCAAAGGAACAGGTGGAGCAATGTCTCCCTCTGACAGACATTCCTCCTGACGTGTGCTCCTGCGGACGCCTGCACTGAGACTGTGATCTCCATAACTGCTTCATGTGCACCAAGCCCCTTTGTGGAATCCTGCTGAGAGTTTTTCCAGAAACCTTCAGTGAAACCAAACCATTCTGAATCATTTAATCTACCACACTTTTGTAAAATAAAAAGAAACTAAGAGCACTTACTTGTTCCCTTCCCTTTGTGGGCCTTAAAAAAAAATTCTACGTATGTATATCCCTGCTTAAATGGGACCAAGTTGCCCTTAGTTTAAATAGGGAAGAAAAATTTATAAATCAGAACAATAAAATACCAATTTAAGAAGGCGTCTAAACTCAAATAATGGAAGCTTTTGATTAAAAAAAGAAAAAGAAAAGATCTCTGGCTCATCTGGGTTTGGGTTCTGGTTTTGGCCAGGGCACAAGAGTGAGCCCGTCTGTATCTGAAGTCTTTTCCAGAGGGATGTCACCACCACTCAGCTTTCCCTGCTGTGTCACAGAACACCCTCTTATTGCTTACACTTGTTGGCATGGCTCAGCCTGGCTGACCCTGGTTGACCTATTATGGCTTCCTCTTCCTCAATCTTATTTTCCAGACTACAGACTCAAAACAGCAGGAACAGTGTCCTTTGGGGAAGTGAGGATGTGTGGCTAAATGTATAGAACATACACATCCATCTACATTGTAGGATTGAGCTAAAATTGTACATGCATTCACCATAAGAAAACAAACAGCAGGATTTTACAACTGAAATGTTGGTTTGTCTTCTCATCTGTTTAAGAGTGAACCACTGGAACTTGGGGACAAGATGAGTACAATTACATTGCAGCCTATCTGTCCGCTATAGTTGCAGTTTTTCATGACAAGCATTCAAAGTGTTAACTAAAACCATTGAAAAAACATCTCTGCCATTAAAAACTTGAATCTAGAAATAACAACTCCATGAGTGTTTTGCACCTCCAGATGGAATGGCCTTGAATAAATGCTATGTTTTTTTACCACTTGATGTTTGTTGTTCTGTTAATCCATATGCAATCTCACACTTTTCTCCTTTCTTCTCCTATCAATGGATTCTAAAAAAAAACAAAAAACTGAACACCTGTGTAGATGATGAACCAGCTGGGCCAATGTAAGTACTTTATTGGACATTGAGTGACTAGCTTCTGATCGAATTATTTTGCATTCATGTTTTAATCGGTGGAGTAGCTAAGATTGTAGGGAAGAGTGAAATGAATGTTGCAGTGCAAACTCAGCAGCTTGATATGCAGGTGGCTGATGGGCAGGCTATTTTAGTAGCAATATAAAGTAGAATACCATTTGTTTAAAATTCTGCATATCCCCTATGCTTAAATTATGGGAAAAATGACCAGTATATCTGAGACTTCAAGTTCCATACTATCTGGCTCCATTAACAAATACGTGTATCTAGAACATGGAATTGCAAATTTGGATCAATCCAGGATTAGAATTTCCTAGAGTTGGAGACCAAATAGTGCTCCAAGTTGTGCCAGAGGACCCAGAGCTGCCTCTGTATAATTGAGTATCATTTATCATTTGAGAAAAGAATGGCACTCAATAGAGAAAAACAAACAAAACTTATTCTAACCTATATAGTAACTATAGTTTATAAATCAAAGGGAAAGTTACCTGTATATTCTTTAACTTGAGAGTCAAAGGGATCTATTGAGAGTCAAAGTTACCTGTATATTCTTTAACTTGAGAAGCAAAGGAATGTTGTTTCCTTTTCCTTTATTAAAGTATTTAAATAGAAGTGAAAAGGTCCTCTGAGGATATTAATTGAAGATATGTAGGCACTTTATCCAGGGAATATTTTTATGTACTAATATTGTGCAGTAAACTGTCTCACTACACCAGGGATGGCAGTAAGTGAAAGAGTCCCTGTATTTCCATGTGTTATACTTTCCAAAAGTTGCTCCTGACTTTGAGTTTAACTCTTGTAATATAATTTTTCCTCCAAAGGAAAACCAACTCTACCAACAATCACAAAGATAAAAACTTGCGCCAGAGAAACACAAATTAAGTACTACTTTTAATGTAAGTATGGCCTTATTCAGAAGTTTTAAAAATTTTATTGAAATGAGCATGACTCTGTTGATCTTCTTACAAATTTTTCAGTATTTGGTGTTATGCTGCAAGATCTTTTTGTTGATTTCAGAGCAGCTCAGACTGGTGGGAACCCATTATATAGCAGCTGGAAAGGACCATTTTTTCAGCTGCATTGTTTCACTTATTTACATAAATGCCATTTCAGAATATGTATGTTTCAAAATAACAGTTTGTGCTACTGTTTACTTATATGTGTTAAAAGAGGTAAAGTTAAATTCTCATCTTGCTAGGTGGGATATTCCTGGAGGCCAGTTAGTCCCTCTCTGCTTCTGAGGGCAAGGCAAGGCCTGGTAGCTAGGACAGCTGGCCCCAATGCCTTCCTGTCCGGCACATGGAGATCAGAATTTCACTCCGCATCCCTGAGCATTCTCTTTGAAACAAAGCCTTGTTTTGTGTGGCACTTAGTTCTTAAGTTAGGCTTTTAATTTCCAAATACTCTTTTTTTTTTTCCCTTTTTTCTTTACAGATCTTTAGGTTCCTGAAACTGATGGCAACATGATCTGCTAAATATTCTGCTTGGACCTTTTTGGTTCTCTCCCGTTTAAATGAGCAACACCACCACAACTGTCTAAAGCATGCCTTATTTAGCCTCTCCTGTAAGGGTGACCTTGCAGGTACATTTTAAACAATGCTTCAGTGTAGAAGGTGTAAACTATTTTGGGCTTGATGTGCTGTGAATGTTGCTTCCTTTTCCTTTATTAAAGTATTTAAATAGAAGTGAAAAGGTCCTCTGAGGATAGGATCATGCATGCACCATTTTTTACTTACTGCGACTGTTAATTTGCAAAATGCACTGCTGCCATCTAGTAATACATTTTTGTAAAGTACAAGCAAAACCTAAAAATAAATACAGTATATAAATATATATATCTATATATTTATATTTGGGGGGGGGTGGGAGAAATACAAAATAAAATGCTTGTTTCAGTTTTAAGCTGCTGATATTCATTTCTTATTGTATGTTGTCAGTTGAGGAAATTGTGCGGTTCTGGTACAAAAGTAATATAAACTGAAATCTATAATTTTAATGGCTTAACCAATGATTCTAATAAGAAGCTGGAATAGTCCATTGAATGACTATAATGAATTTCAGTATATATGTATGATTGCTTTTTAAGTGATTATTTTGTTGTTTGCTAAATCATGTAAATTCTTATATCCTTTTGCACTGATCTGTTGAACCTTATTGTACATTTAATTAAGACATACTTCTAATTTACCTTTAGTTTTCAGTGACCTTGACATGTTCTAGCATGGTATTCTATGAACTAGATATACTTCGTGGCTAACACTATGTTTTTTTTTTTCTTCACATTGATTTAATGGTTGAGTGTAGATTTTCTCACACAATGGGGTTCTCTCACTTAGTATGTAACCGTACATGCATGTACTCATGTTTTGTGTAATTGTTGATGTGCAATGATGTATAGAAAAGTGGATTCACCGGTTTTTAAAAATAAAACATTGATAAAAGATGTTTGGAATAATATTCTTTATTCTAGTCTTAAGGAGGAAGCATTTGTCAAGTTTCTTAATTCTATATGTACACAGAGTGTTAATTTCTCAACCCCGTCAGTTTTTTTAGTTCCTTTTCCACCTCTTCCACAAATGCTGGGAAATTCTGATCCATGAGGCAGAAGCGGAGAAAGGAGCCTAATTCTTCAGCATTCCATGCAGATTGTTTGTGGACTAGGGGCAGCTCCTCTGATGCCAGGAGAGACTATGGGGATTCCAGAAGAGTGGTTTATTAGAGATTACAGGCAAAAGCAACAGAGTGAATAACAGAAAAACTGCCTGAAGGAAAGATTAGGGAAATATATACCAAAAATGAATGTTAATTATAATTAGCTCTATAGGGTTCCTTTACTTAATGTTTCTTAATATTATATACATAAGAAGTGAGATAAACTTGTATCCTTAGGTATATGGAGTATATTAATGATGTGATTTGCAAAGTTAAAACCCTGTTTTAATAAAGAATACTATGCTGATAACCTTATGTGGGTTGATAAGAAACCTATCAGTAAATGAACTCCACTAGCTTAGTTTTTCATTCCCACCTCACTTTGGGGGAATGGGTGAGAGCAGTTCATTTGGAAATGGGTTCTGAAGATAATAAAGAATGGCCACACACTGACCGTCCAAAGCCTCATGTCTTTTTCTGGTCCTGTCCACAAGAGTTGACAAATTCAGAAAGACATATGACTATGAGGGCAATCAAGATACACAACATTTCCATCCCCTCCCCCTAAGTCCCTTCATACAACCTACCTTTGTTGTCAAACTCTTAGTCTCACCCCCCCTCCCCAGCAACCACTGTGCTGTATTCTTCATACCTTAGTCATATAAATGAAATCATATAATGTTGAGCACTTTTTTTATATGCCTGTTTTCCATTTGTATATCTTTGTTAACTTGCAATGTTTTAAAACCCGTTAAGTAAATATGTTGCCAATATTTAAATTAGGAGAGTTTAAATAAAAGTCTGACTCTGCTTGGCAGTTTAGAAGATAGAGCACCACTGACCTAATGACAATAGCACCAGCTTGGGGTCCACCTACATCTCCTTTACTTCTCACACAAATTCTGTTAAGTAGGTGGTTTTATGCCTTTTCTATGGATGGGAAGGTTTGGTGTGTATGTATCAACTGACAGTTCTCTAAGAACTATCTATATGCTAGAAATATATTTTTGTAAATTAAAAGTAACTTTGCAGACTACCTGACTGTAGAAAGAAGAAAAATGAAAGTAACATGAATACCTGTTCTCCAGGAAGAGTGACTGTGTTAGAATGTTAGTTTATCTCCTTCCAGACGTGTTGTGTGTGTTTACTACAAAAATCAACTCATACATGATGCTTTTGTAGTCTCTTAAAAAATGTAATGACTATGAATGTTAATATTTCCATGTTAATATTAATAGATAGGGATATTTATACATCACTTCTATTGACAGCATTTTTGTCACATCATGGTTATTTCACACTTTAACCACTCAGTATCCCATCAGTAAACATTTATGTTGTTTCCAATTTTGTTACTATGTGAACAGCATCCTTACATGTATGTTTCTGTAGCAGAAATATAATTATAGGTAATAGATATGGCATAAAATTGGATCTATATTGCTAAATTGCTTTCCAAAAAATTTTATCAAAGCAAATAAGCATATCTGAACTCTCACTCTGATGTTTTTTTCTGGTTTGTACATGGTTCTTGTCTACTATGTAAATAAGCTGGGATATGGTTATACCTTTTATAGCAGATGACATTTCCTAAAGAAGAATATCACACCCTGCCTTGTTCCTTACGTTTTTGTGCCTCTACCGTCCTTAGCCACTTGGATGCAATTAACTTTTAACCCCAATGCAAATATGAGGCTACAAACTGTGCACCGTGAAGTCTGCCCTGCTGCTGGACAAGAGACTTTTACATTTTCTTGTCAGGCAACTAAAGGTCTTTATCCTATGGATGTCCATTTATTTTGAATTAGTGGTAAGGCAGGGGGGAGAGACTCATATTTTATTCTTTATACCACTTTTAGAACAGTTTGATACATTAAAAAGAAAATTTATCCTTGAATATTGACAAATTCCATGTAGAATTCTGTGAAAAGTGTAAGCCGTTGGCCTGAGAGCCTGCTGTGGAGTGCAGCTAGGACTGCAGTGAACAGAAAGTTCCCAGGGAGCTCCCAGCAGAGCACACACCAGTTATTAGGCCCAAGGAACAGGTTTAAGGCTCTGGCCATAGTGAACTGCAAAGGGAGAGGGGAAGTGCGTGTGAAAAGTTGAATCCTCCCGGTTTCCACACATCCTAGTTGAGATCTTAGCACTAAAAATTTGTATAGAAACCATTAATGATTTGTCTTCAAATTTATATTGATATTTGTCTTAAAACAGTTCCCAAAATTATTCTCTTTATTCCTTTTTTGGGGAAAGTGGTAAATTCTTTATCACACTTAAAGGCTAGCAGTGTAGGCCACCCCTGTGTTTCCTTAGCAGAGCAGCTCTTTAGTATGGGCCATCATGGTAATCTCACAACAGGGTAGACAGACGACATGGCCTGTCTCTGTCTCTGACCTCTTCCATAGTAACACTTCAAGTTAGTGCTCTAGAATAAGGGAGTGAATAGAGATTCAAATGTTCAGGATCACTGCTTTTCATGGCAAGAAAACGGAACATGGAAGTACCTGTACCTGAGCTAACTGGGTCACTGAGATCCTTCCTCCTGGGGCAGACTGCTGCTGCTCCGGCCGCTGGTGTGACTGCAACGAGACAACTGCCAGCTTAGCTGAACATAATCATGAAACTGCAGACCATTAAAGAAGTGGAAACATGGATTCATGTTCAGAGAAAAGAAAATCAGGAGAAATCACTGTTGGTGTACTTTGTCCTGCTATCAGTTGGCCACTACTTGATTTACCATAGTAGAGAAAGGCAGAGTTTAAATCAGAGGCCCCTGTACCTGGGATTCCTGTGTCTGTCCGACACCACTGTGTTCTGTCTACAGAAGCCCAGTCCAGGATCCAGGGCCACAGGCTGGTACTGGAGGACAGTAGATGTTACCCAGCTTTGGATTATCATGATTTGTTATCTAATAATAATTAGTTGGGTAATACATATTCATTGCAGGAAAAGAAATCCCATAATTGCAAGATAATACGTTTTTTAAATAAAATTGGGCTTTAAAAAAGATCTCAACCTCTATAATGCCGCGACCCTTTAACACAGTTCCTCATATTGTGGTGACCCCCAACAATAAATTTATTTTCGTTGCTACTTCATAACTAATTTTGCTACTGTTTTGAATCATAATGTAAATATCTGTGTTTTCCAATGGTCTTAGGGGACCCTGCTAGCAGTTCTCAACCTGTGGGTCTCAAGAACCGCTGCTGGAGAGCCTAAGACCATCTACATGGGTATTTGGACCATTCTGGAGCTTACAGCCCAGCCTGCTTCTGTCACTGTGTGTTCTAGTTATGCTTTATTCAGACTAGAGGCCCAGCATGCACGCGAAAAATTGTGTGGTAATCTGCTCACACCTCCCCGCCTCCCACTCGCCCATCACTGCTTGTAGTGTTTGAACTCTCTTAAGGGTGGTTGGGAGGGAGTTTCCAATCCCACTCTTTTTCCTCTAATGGTTTTCTTGCCCTTCCTTCCTTTTCCTATGCTGATCTGGAGAGCCTCTGGTTGCTCCCCACTCAAGGGCTAATCAGGGGAAAGAGCCTTTGACCTTGGTTATAAAAGCACCTGTCTAATCACTGACCTTATTAGGCCACCCGGAGTCCAGATGCATAAGTTACCTATGTCAAATAAACATTTTTGGGGTGTGTGTGAAAATTTAGGTCTCTGATATTGAGAGGAAAAAAACTATTGCTTTAATGACAACACATTTCAAATATTGTAATGAAAGTATGAAAAATAACACATAAAAAGGCTGCAAAAGTGTTATTTTACTTTTAAGACAATAATAACTGAAAATAACAGGTTTCTTTCAGGCAGCATCCTAAAAAGGTAGCTGCTTTTTTATGTCTTAGGCCCATACTAAGGTCTTCAAAGACCCCTGGCCCTGCCTTCTGAAGACTTGAGGTTAACATGTTTGTCTTAAAAACTGTGAGGTAACTAATTTTTAAAAACAACCGGCCATACCTCCTCCTTAAACATATTGTCCATCATCCAAGTTATTCTTTTTTCTTCCTCATTTTTTTTATTAAGATGATATATGTGTACATACCTTACCAATCCCCACCCCACCCCCACTCCCATACATGCCCTCCCTCCCCAGAGTTTTTCGTCCATTGGTTATGCTTATATGCATGCATACAAGTCCTTCGGTTGATCTCTTATCTCCCCCATATCTCCCTACCCTCCCCGCTGTAATTTGACAGTCTGTTTCTTTTTTTTTTTTTTTTTTTAATATATTTTATTGATTTTTCACAGAGAGGAAGGGAGAGAGATAGAGAGCTACAAACGTCGATGAGAGAGAAACATCAACCAGCTGCCTCTTGCACACCCCCTACTGGGGATGTGCCCGCAACCAACGTACATGCCTTTGACCGGAATCGAACCTGGGACCCTTCAGTCTGCAGACCGATGTTCTACAGCTGAGCCAAACTGGTTTCGACAGTCTGTTTCTTTTACTGTCTCTGTATCTATCCCTTTGTTCATCAGTTTATAATGTTCCTTATTATCCATAAATGAGTGAGATCATGTCGTGTTTTTCTTTCATTGACTGGCTTATTTCCATAATGTTCTCCAATTCCATGCAGGTCGCTGCAAATGATAAAAATTCCTTCTTTTTTATGGCAGCATAGTATTCCATTGTGTAGATGTACCATAGTTTTTTGATCCAGTCATCTGCTGACGGGCACCTAGGCTGTTTCCAAATTCTAGCTATTGTAGATTGTGCTGCTATGAACATAGGGGTGCATATATCCTTTCTGATTGGTGTTTCTAGTTTCTTGGGATATATTCTTAGGAGTGGGATTACTGGGTCAAATGGGAGTTCCATTTTCAGTTTTTTGAGGAAACTCCATACTATTCTCCACAGTGGTTGCACTAATCTGCATTCCCACCAGCTGTGCACGAGGGTTCCTTTTTCTCCGCATCCTTGCCAGCACGTTTGCTGATTTATTGATGATAGCCATTCTGACAGGTGTGAGATGGTACCGCATTGTTGTTTTGATTTGCATGTCTCGGATAATTAGTGACTTTGAGCAGGTTTTCGTGTGCCTCTTGGCCTTCCTCTGTCTTCTTTTGAAAAGATTCTATTTAGGTCCATTGTCCATTTTTTAATTGGTTCATTTATCTTCCTTTTATTAAGTTGTATAAGCTGTCTGTAGATGTTAGAGAATAAGCCTTTTTCAGTGATAACATTTGTAAATATGTTCTCCCATACTTTCTTGTTGTTTTGTTGATGGTTTCTTTTGCTGTAAAAAAGCTTTTTATTTTGATGTAGTCCCATTTGTTTATTTTCTCTTTAGCTTCCATTGCCCTAGGGGCAGTATCACTGAAGTAGTTCTTTCGGCATCTGTCTGAGATTTTGCTGCCTGTGGATGCCTCTAGTATTTTTATGGTTTCCCTTCTTATGTTTAAGTCCTGTATCCATTTTGAGTTTATTTTTGTGTATGGTGTAAGTTGGTGATCTAGTTTCATTTTTTTGCATGTATCTGTCCAATTTTCCCAACACCATTTATTGAAGAGACTGTCTTGACTCCATTGTATGTTTGTGCCTCCTTTGTCAAATATTAATTGAGCATAGTGATTTGAGTTGATATCTGGATTCTCTATTCTATTCCACTTATCTATATGTCTGTTTTTGTGCCAGTACCAGGCTGTTTTGAGAACAGTGGCTTTGTAATACAGCTTGAAACGTGGCATTGAGATCCCTCCTACTTTATTCTTTCTCAGGATTGCTGTGGCTATTCAGTGTCTTTTTTTGTTCCAGATGGATTTTTGGAGAGTTCTTTCTAGGTCTGTGAAATATGCTGTTGGTATTTTAATGGGGAGTGCATTGAACCTATAAATTGCTTTGGGAAGTATGGATATTTTGATGATGTTGATTCTACCAATCCATGAACATGGTATGTTTTTCCATCTGTTTACATCTTCCTCTGTCTCTTTTTTCAGTGTCATGTAGTTTTCCGTGTATAGGTCTTTTACCTCCTTAGTTAAGTTTATTACTAGGTATCTTAATTTTTTTGGTGCAATGGTAAATGGGATTGCTTTTTTAGTCTCTGTTTCTATAAGATCACTATTGGTGTATAGAAATGCCACAGATTTCTTGGCGTTAATTTTGTATCCTGCTACATTGCCAAATTCATTTATTAAATCTATTAGTTTTTTTATGGAGTCTTTTTGTTTTTTTTATGTACAATATCATGTCATCTGCTAATAAGGACAATTTTACTTCTTTTCCAATTTGGATGCCTTTTATTTCTTCTTCCTGTCTAATTGCAATGGCTAGTACTTCCAGTACTATGTCAAACAGGATTGGTGAGAGTGGGATCCCTGTCTTGTTCCTGTTCTTAAAGGGAATGGTTTTAGTTTTTGCCCATTGAGTAGTATGATGTTTGCTGTGGGTTTATCATATATAGCTTTTATTATGTTAAGGTATGATCCTTCTATTCCCACCTTGTTGAGAGTTTTTATCAGGAAAGGGTGTTGGATTTTGTCACATGCTTTTTCTGCATCAATTGATATGACTATATGATTTTTATCTCTCAATTTATGTGATGTATCACATTTACTGATTTGCTGATATTGTACCATCCTTGCATTCCCGGAATAAATCCTACTTGGTCATGGTGTATGATCTTTCTGATGTTCTGCTGGAACTGATTTGCTAGAACTTTGTTGAGGATTTTGGCATCTATGTTCATGAGGGATATTGGCCTGTAATTCTTTTTCATTGTGTTGTCTTTATCTGGTTTTGGTATTAGAGTGATGCTGGCTTCATAGAAGGAGTTTGGAAGTGTTCCTTCCTCTTGAATTTTTTGGAATAGTCTGAGGAGGATAGGTTTTAGTTTTTCGTTTGATAAAACTCCTGTGAAACCATCTGGCCCCGGGCTTTTGTTTGTTGGAAGCTTTTTGATGACTGTTTCAATTTCTTCCAAAGTCACTGGTCTATTGAGATTTTTAGATTCTTCCTGATTGAGTTTTGGAAGGTTATGTTTTTCTAGGAATATGTACATTTCTCCAGATTGTCTAGTTTGTTGGAGTAGAGTTTTTCATAGTATTTTGTAACAATCCTTTGTATTTCGTCAGGGTCTGTTGTTATTTCACCTCTTTCGTTTCTGATTTTGTTTATATGGGTCCTCTCTCTTTGTTTCTTAGTGAGCCTGGCTAGAGGTTCATCAATCTTGTTTATCCTTTCAAAGAACCATCTCTTGGTTTTTTTTTGTTTGTTTGTTTGTTTTTATCTTTTGTATTGTTTCTTTGGTCTATGTCGTTTATCTCTGCTCTGATTTTTATTTCCTTCCTTCTGCTTACACTGGGCTTTTCTTGTTGCTCTTTTTCTAACTCTTTGAGTTGTAGAGTTAGATAATTTGTTACCATTTTTTCTTGTTTTTTGCAATAGGCTTGTAGGGATATGAACTTCCCTCTCAAAACTGTTTTTGCTCTGTCCCATAGATTTTGGATTGTTGTGTTTTCATTGTCATTTGTTGCCACAATGTTTTTAATTTCTTCCTTGATTTCTCTGGTAACCCAGTCATTGTTTAATAGCATGCTGTTTAGTCTCCATGTGTTTGATTTCTTTGGATTA